AAGAAAATAACCCCCCCGAAAAGATTGTAAATTTCCAGAACAGCAGGTAAATAGTTAGTATTTTGCTCAATGGCTTCCAAATTTTGAACAAAAATTTTCCTAGCATTATAAGCTGCTATCTTTTGTTAGCTGTCTTTCCTAGTAAATAATTTCCATTGTATTGACCCACATTATTGTTCTAACAAATGTTATGTAGTTAACACGTATTTTCCTATAACATTGTCTAAGGAATGCTGTTTGATTACAACTCTGCCAGTCTGCTTCTTTTGATTTGTGAATTGAGGCCTTATACATTAGTGGTTATAACTGAAATGTGTCAGCTTATCTTTGTCATGTTATCTACCTGTTGTTGGTTTCCTACTTTTACTCTGTTTCCTTGTCTGAAATTCAGTACTGCTTGTATTGTTTTTCTGTTATTTGCTAAATGCATCTGTCCTTGTTAATATATTTTCATTCTTTTATCTTTAAAATAAAAACAATAATGCTTTTGAACAGTAGGTTAGTTTCTTCCAATTTTTTATTAGTACTTATTTGCAGTACATCTTGATTATATTCCTCATGGGGGTTGGTGCGTGTAGATAACACATTTTAATTCTTTTATCATCCTCTTTCCCCTCCCCATACCCCTTTCTCAATCTCTGGATATTCTTCCCATTGACAGTGACCTATTTCCTATTATCTATCTCTTATTTTACACTTTATTTATATTTTGGCTTCTCATATAAGAGAAACTGTAGAATATTTAAATTTGTGTGTCTGATTTACTTCACTTAACATCATGATCCCAAGGTGCAACTATTTTCCCACACATGACTAAATTTTATCCTTTTTAAGACAGAACAGCACTCTGTGGTGTATAAATACCACATAAATTTATGAATTCAGATGATGAACATATGGACTACTTCAAAATTTAGCTATTATAAATTGTGCTTCTATAAACATAGGTATGCACGTATCATTGCAATATAATGTCTTTAGCACTTTCAAGAAGATACCCAGAAAGGGAATAGCTGAATCAAATGGAATTTCTAGTATTAGTTTTTTGAGAAATATCCATACTGATTTTAATAGTGGTTTTATCAGTTTACACTCTCACCAACAATACACAAGGATTCCTTTTGCTCTTGCAGCTTCTCCATCATTTGTTATTATTTGATTTCTTCAAGATAGTCTTTCTCTCTTGAATGAGATGGATTTTCAGTGTTGTTCTAATTTGCATTTCTCAAATGGCTATGATGCTGAGTGCAGTCCCAATCAAAACATCAGTAGCATTGCTTACGGAACTAGAAAAAAATATCCTAAAATTCACATTGAACCAGGAGACCAAGATTAGCAAAAGTAATTCTGTGCAACAAAGGCACAGCAGGAAACATCACAATCCTGGATTTTAAAATATACTACAAAGATACAATGATGAAAACAGCATGGAAATGACAAAACACAGACTTGTGGATCAATGAAACAGAATAGAGGATACCGAAACAACTCTAGGAACACTCAGCTACTTTATCTTTGACAAAGGGGCCAAATACCTTCCCTGGAAGGAATATAGCCTCTTTAACAAATGGCGCTGGGAAAACTGGCTTTCCACATGCCAAATGTTGAGCCTGTATTTCCCACCAAGCACTAAACTAAAATCAAAATGGGTCAAATATCTAAAGATTAAAACAGTAACAATTTTCTGGAAGACAAAGTAGATAAGATTATTAAAGACACAGGCATAGGCAAAGCCTTTCTGGACAGAAGCCCAGCTGCAGAAGAAATAGCAATCAACAAAACAGATCACATCAAATTTAAAAGCTCCTGTATAGCCAAAAAGAATTAATTCTTCTTTATTTACTATCATAGATTTTTTGAAGCAGCAGTAGTGAAAGCAAAGCTAAAAAAATATATTCCCTGAGATATCCTTGTGTTTTTCTTTAATAATGCCTTAACTGGTTAACTTTTCACATAGTTGGCAATATAAAAGTGCATATGTTCCTTCTAACAATCTATTCTTAGACAAGATATATTGTATACTACATTTCTAATTTTCTTATTCTCTTATCTTTATAGTCTTGTGATATCTAAATTGTACTGAGCGACATCTATAAAGGAAAGATTCTATGTAGTAGATAAAATCCTTAGATAATACAATCAATGATTAAGTTCCCACACTGTGACAATTTTTATATCTATGTGAAAGATAATTAAAGGTACAGTAAGTTTAAAAATAATCCACTGCTGCTTGAGCCTGCACTCCTTATGCTAAAAATAGTGTTCTTTCTGTACAGCAGTTATCCATAAATTAAAACATTCATCATCATACAGAAAGTTAAAATAAGTAACGTAAATATTAACTGTTCACATTAAAGAAAACATTTTAAATGCCAAGCTAAGGATTCAGACATAAGCTGCAAAACTGAAAGCAACTGAAATTATCTGAGTGAACTAAACCAACTGTAATATTCAAGATAAATCCACTAAATGATTTCCTAGAGGCAGAGTTTATTAAAACTATGAAGTATCTGGCCTTTTTGGATCTAATGAAAATGAAGTAAAAATACATGTAAAGAAACACTATACAGGAACAGTCAAACAGAAAGGCCTATGGATTAAACGTAGAATATATGAGATGGCACGGGGCAGATGATTGTCAAGAACGGTGATCTTTTAGGTGATATGTAAACAAACAAGATATCCCCAATATATCAATTAATGCTATTTTCTTTGCATTCATCCCTAGGACATTTATGGTAGCATGAATATTCACTGCTGCCCCCAAAGGCTTCAAATATAGGGATTCCTTCTTGTTCCAAACTTTCTTTTCCAAGTTCATGTCATTATAATGAACAAAAGAAAAATATATTTACCAGTGAAAGACCCTTCTGAAAATTAGATCACTGTAAATGGTTGTGTGTATCCTGGTCAGCAGTGTCACTTATGTTTTCTCATCTTTTGCTGATGATTAACATTGTAAACACCCAATGAATACAGTGCCCAAACACTGCAAAACAATGCCTCCTCTATTTTTTGCAAATCTTAGTGATTAGAAGAACTATCAACACAATGGCTTATGTCAGAGATCAAACAGTCCTACTTGACACTCCCCTCATTCTTCTCAGGTCCCACATTGTAATGCTTTGCCAGTTGCTAAAATAAAACAAATTTATGTACAGTGCTACCATTACCACTAACAGTGCTTCTCTAAATTACTGTTACCTCTTCCCTGGATATCTACCATTGACTTTCTATAACTGCATGTTCAACTGAACCATATCCTTCACCTCTGCTCAAACCATTTTAAACCCAGAATGACACTGAAATGCAATTCTGATTGTGCAAACTCCACCCTTATACTACCAGCTTTGCAAATGCTTCTGTGCACTAGGATAAAGTGTACATACCAAATATGAATAGCAAAGCTCTTTTTTCACCCTCAAGCAAAGTCCTCCAGTCATCTTCCAAGTTTCCTTAAGGCACACAGACTTTTCATTATGCCTCCTGATAGCCATGCTTTTACTGCTATGCAGATTTCATTAGATCCCTCACCCTCTTCCCACAAAATATCCACAGTAAGCAACTATATAGTTCCTGTTCTGGCCTGTCCTTTTACATATCTTTTCAGATTCTCTGACTCATTAGTAAATATAAGTCCCTCCAGTTATGAGTAATTTCTTATTTCCCTATTTTTTAATGGTGAAATTTATAGCTTTTTATTTTTATGTAATACATTAGAAATGTTTTAAATGTTTCAAAAAGAGTATCTTCTAGAAGTGAATTAAAACATGAGAACATTTAGAGTTTGCTTAAGGCATCTAAAAGTGGTTGGTCCTAAGTGTTATTTCCTAACTCACTGATATTAAGGCTCTGGATCATTGCTGCCACAATTCTCTTGACCATTCCCAGCAATATGTTGGATGACAGAAGAGTTACTAACAGTGTGCCCGCATGTCAGCTACACCAAATATAAGAAAAGGAATGGGCCTTTCTAAACTGGGCTATCTCTTTACCAAAGAAGAACGTAACTCCCACATGACTTCTAACTTGCTAGTAGCAACTGATCATGTATCAATCCCTAGCCTCATCAGTAACAAAAAGGAATGCATATATCATAATTTGTTAAAACTAACATGATCATACTACTGTAAAGGTGGTTATAAAACTGATTAGCCACATTACACAAATCTTGTCACTTCTACAACAAAAACTCCAGGTGAGAAATTGTCCAGGAAGATAAAGAACTGACATACGAAGAAGTGGTGTGAAATAACTGCTTTATATATTAAATTTGAGAAAGTGGCCATGGATTAAGAAGTAAAAACCATAAAAAGGAATTTTATGGTATTTAATTCCAGTTTAATAATTTTCCAGTTTTTCCAGTTTAATAATACCTTCTGCACATTTATAACTGACAGTCATTTATTTACCATGTAAAAATTTCCAAAGTTGGGAATCTTTTCTTCTGTATCATTTGTTTAACTTTTGGATTGAGCAAGTTATTTTAAATTTATTATTCTCATTTTTTTCCAAAAAGTCAATGAAATTATAAAATAGATTTTTTTTTTCTAGGACATCTTTTTAAATTTGCTTTACTTTAATTTTGATTTAAATTAATTTTTAATTTAAATTTCTTTTTATTTTAAAGACAATTTTAAAAAATAAACACAATGCAGAATTTCAAAACAAGACAATAGGAAATTAACAATGGTTATTATATTGCATATTGTTATTTTTAAAATAATTGCTCAGATTACCAGATATAGGGATGTAAAATTGATCAAGCAACATACAAACATCATACAACATACAGTGTTCCTTTCACTGTTGCTCACACATCATACTTTCTTTTCAATGAACCTTTATTTTGCATGGTGTGGTGGACTGACAACTGGTGCACAACTTGTAACACCCAGATGAATTGAATCAACGTGGTGCTGGGTGTTGGAGGCCCACCTGAGGATTGTTGCTGGTAGCATAAGAGGCAGAACTGGAGAAGAAGAAGGGCTGTTGGGAGCTGTTAGAAGCTGGTGGGAAGCTGGTAGCAAGCCACCCTTTCTCTGGGGTATTCTGTTGGAGGAGATGATCATACTGGCTTTTCTGAGGAACTAGCTGTTCTCATCGTCCGAGGAGCTTGTTGTCGCTGAGGATGGCTTCTGTTCACTTTGGGGGAGCTTTGGTCTTCACTTTAAGCATCGCTTCCTGGATCTGGAGGGGAAGATGGTGCACTGATCAGTCTCCTGGAGAAGCTTGTCATATTGGCTTCCCTGATGGGAACTCAGCTTTCCTCATCATTGGAGAAGCTCGGGACCTTACTGTTGCAGAAGATGGCTGTGGTAACTCTGGTTCTAACATTGTGTGTTGCTTCCTGGCTCCAGTTCAGATCCCTCAACCTGCTAGCACAGAACCTTCATCCTGCTGGCACAGACTCTCTAGGTTCCACCACTGAATACATTTTACTCCCACACCCAGCACCACTGAATACAGTGGTTCCACCACTGTATACATTTTTCATTGATTTTAAGTAATATCATGAAAACTCTGTAATTTGCATTACTTAAATGAAAATGTATACACTTTCTTTAATTTGCAATAATAGTAAAACTATTTTAAATATAAAGAAAAGACTTGGCATGCTTTGACATCAATAAATTTCTCTTTAGATATTCATTTTGCTAATTCTTCCAGAGACTCTTGATATATACATATATATATTTCTGTATATATGTATAATGTATCTATGTATAATATATGTATGTATAACATATTTATATATGTGTAATTATATTCTAAAATATATATGTAAGCTCCCAACTTATGAACATTCAGTTGTAAACTTTCACCAATAGGAACAGACCTTGCATTACAGATGTGAACAAATCACGGAAGTAGCTCATGTGTCTGCTGGTCCGTGTCGCAGTTGCGCTGCGGTGTGCTTACTATACAGTGCGGTAATGTGCAGTAGTACAGTGCTCAGTCAGAGCCCAGGGTGTCTGAAAGCAAGATGAAAAGCAGTGGTGATATGAGGGGTTGGTTCTTTTATGCTTTACATTATACATTTGCATCAGAGGTGTATAAGACTCACCTTGTCAGATTTAATGACTGAATCCAATTTATGAACATGCTTTCAGAATGGAACACTTAGTAAGTCAAGGACTTACTGTAATTTACAGGATTTACCTTTATGATTCTGAGAGACAGACAGACATTCTATCTCATTTCTTTTGCTAGAATTCCAAAACATTATCCTTCTTAAAAATTATAAATAATGGCTTTCTAATAATATCTTAAAGTTCTTTCAGAATGCTAGGGTTTAATTTGTCTGCATTTGGTGATTCAACCTTACTGCAAATTTGCTAAAAATATTTGATTCATTCCTTGTAAAAGAAGCAAATAAATTGACAAAATCTACTTTTTAACAACAGTAGGAATATTTCTCTCTGTATAATAAATTTTTAATCTCTCCTTTCTTTTCCATAGTGCAGAAAATCTAGACTGTCAAACTTCCTTTATTAAAGAAGCCATTGTAAACTCATTGACCCGACTGAACATTGTTAGGCTATGAACTTATTAAAATTTTCTTTAGCTATAATTTAAGGAATTACAGAAAATATATCAGAATATGGTTGAAACATAATATTTTCAAAATTAGATAATGAAAATGCTGCTTACCTACAGATTACTAGCTGTGATCATATATGACCAAAGCTAAAACACATGACTGAAAGCACATCATACCATACTATGGGTGACTAACATTTCTAGGACAGTAGCAAAACAGAGGTATTAACTTCAGTGCATTAAATAGAAGCGATGTGAGAGTGCATCACAGTTTACTACTCTGATGATAAATAGCAATAATGGATTTGACGATGAAAATTCAACTCCAACCAGACATGGAAATCAAGAAAGCAAATGAGACCAGGCTCAGGCTGTGTTCATAATTGGCTCTACCATTCAAACATAAAGCCACATACATCTCTTTAAAGCATAGGTCACTTCATCTTCAAAAGAGATGTATAAAAAACATTTGAAGCTTCCTTCCATTTGTAAAATTTGATGATTCCAAGTTTTTAGCTATTTTTACACTTAGTTCACTGATCTGCTTGTTGGATTTTATTGACTCTGAATAATAAAAAACTATTTAAATATCATGAATAAAACATCAGCATATCTTGTTCCTGAATTTTTCCCTTGTATTTGACCACTACATATCTGAACAGATAAACTTAATTTAATCTTTGGTACCTGACACATTCTTGCAATGACTAATCTTTATCAATCCCCAAAGTTTGTTGTGCTAACTTTGAATTAGCGGGTGATAGGGTAGTTATTTCATCCAATTGTAACAAAAAGAATTTAATGAGTGTTTGAAGTGTGTGTGTGATTATACTATTTGATAATTATACATTTTCCAAGATAAGGATTAAACACAAATCAAAAGAAGTCAACATTTCCTTATGAATGGAAGTGATTATATGTAATCAGGAAACTTTGAAGCTTTCTACATTGGCATATTGAATAATCAACTCTGTTGTTTTGTCATTATCAGTAGGGTTACACTTTTGTAGCTTTTGAAATTCCTGGTGTTTGCCTAGTTGAAGATAGAGAAGAAAGTTTGTTTTCCCACTAACATTTCATTGATTGTTTGCTCTTCGCTGATAGTTTGTGACACTTTATCTCCCTGTCAGCTGGACTTTTTACCTGGCTTATATGGAGCAGTTTCATTAGAATCCAATTGATTTTGCAGTTGAAGAACTCAATCCTCGTATATGTTTCTTATAAACACTTTTCTACGTGTTCTTTCTTTCTCCTTGTGGTATCAGGATAATTTATTCAGTATATAAAGGATAAAATGTTGAAACAATAAAAACCAGCTGTAATGTGGTTTCTATTTCTATTTCTTATCAATTTTTAAATTTCCCTCCTTGTCAAATTTTACTTTGCAAAAGTTGATCATTAAAAACGCTTAAGGAAGTTTAGGTAACTTATCTTGGATGTCAAGAAACGAGATTTGCAAAATGAAAGATAATCTTATAACATAAAATCTAAATATAATCTTACAAATAATTTGAGGAGTTTTACTTTAATTAATGGTTTTCATAGATAAACCATAATGTCATTTGTATGTGGCTACTACTTCTGAATAATTTTCATAGTGCATTTTTAGCAGTTAGACAATATTTTTGGTTCTTTTCTTTATGAAAAATGTTTTTAACTCAAAATTACAATTTGATATATGTAGTAGTGCTTTTATCAAACTCAGTATACCTACTGCCCTATTGTAAGAAAAATACAGCATGTTTGACTTTCCATAAGGAAACCCCAAGACTTAATGAGCTAAAGAAAGTCCTAAGTGAAATCCACTGGCCTATTATTTTGTTGTCCATGGGATTTAATAACCATGTGAAAAGCATTGTTCAGTGTAGCACAGGGTGGCCCCTTCAGGTGAGATCTTAAATGTACCAGCAAAGCAGGATGGGAACCTCCTCTCTCTATTCAGTCTTAATCTCTTTCTTTCATGAGCACAAAATTCATAGCTTCAGGGTGATTAAATTAAAAATTCAATTTTCTACATATTTTAAGTGGACAAACTTGCATTGAATGGAACAGCATCTTTTGAATTATAGTTTTTAGAAGTAATATTCATTAGATACAGCCATTGCCATTGGCTATAAGAAGTCATTTAGCATGTTTTAAATTAGAAAATTTAATATGCACTCCAAAGATCAAAGGACCGATAGCTAAAAACTGAATAGGAATATCTTTGTGTAATTTTCTATTATTCTGTCACATTGGAGGTAAAAGACTACCCAGAGTGTCGTGCCAAAGAAAATATCTTTTATCATTTTTGTATTTTTCAACTTCCCCCAGCACTAGTAATTCTGTAGTGTGAGGCCTTTATTATTTATTTTAAGTGAAAACACATGATAAATTATTCCTACATAAAATTCGTTATGAGAAAACATTCTGGATTTCTAACATCAAGAATTATATTAAAACTAACTGAGTATTATCCTTAATAGAAGTATCATTAAATCTGGGTGTACATTTTTACATATGTACAAGAACAAAATATTCAGAAAAATTCTAAGATTTCCCAAATTTATCTTTTAGTATTTTAGAGATGAAACAGCCTTTGATAAAACATCACATTATACTTGAGACTTTGTGGGAGAGATGTTTCTCAGAGATGAAAATTCAGTGTAATATTTCTATAATAAAATATGAGGCAAAGTAATGAACGGACACTATTAACACTTGTTTAGGAATGTTTTCCCAGAGCTATGAGTAAAACTAATGTGTTTAGATTCAGGAAGAGACAAAGAGAATTCTAAAATATATCTTTAGTCTACTATTTCCATTTGAAAAAAAATTCCAAATTTCATCATGCCCTGTCATTTGACAGTTTACTAAGAAATTTGAGTGAGGTACACTGTAAAGTTAGCATACTGAAACTGTAGAACTTAGTCACTGAGATGATATTTTAACTGAACTTTAAATTTTTTTAAGGAAAGATTTTTCTAGTATCTTTGAATTTCTAGCACCCCATATATCACTTAAGACTTGCATTGTGGTCTGTAAAGATTTATTATGTTTCTTTTTCTTAAATTAATAACTAATTCCTATAAAATATTGCTAAAAGAAGGAAGGGCAATGCATTAAATTTTTAAATTTAGCTATTGAATACTGTAGGACTTGACTGAGCAATGCATATTTTTGTGTTTATTCTGTCTCTGGAGAGTCATGAATGTTTATTGCATTTCTGAACAGTATTGAGGGAGTCCCTCTGCTAAATTTTTAACTACAGAGATCTATACACCTTATGGTTTAGGTTACAATCTTTTCACAGTCATGGGCTTGTCCACTACTAAGAAGCTAGAAGTCAGAGAGTACATTATGCATTCACAAATGAACTTTTTTCTTCTTGAGTATTAAAAATTCTATGGAAAGATGATTTCTAATGTGTTCACATGTCTTGCAAGGGACAATAAATAAGCAACATTAGATAGTAAAGAGTACATGAAATATTTCTCATGCAAAGTTTATTAGACAAATGCTGTTTTATATTTATTTATACATATTTTTATAAATATTTATATTTATTTATGTATATTTAGAGTTTTTTCATTTTTATGCTGGTGAGAAATGGAATAAAAATGTTTCCCAAAACTAGCCATGCCATAAATCCAATATATAATTTCTTTCATAATCTCACTTCTTTTCACATATTTTCAAGGCAGATAACTTAGCTGTCACTTCAAAAGTTAATATTTTAGTAGGATTTCTTCACTCTTCATTCTTAAATATTTTACAAAAATTTTAGATTATATATAAAGAGAAAACATAACATTGTTTTTGGATATCTTAGATGCTGTTAATATTCAAAAATTTTTTCTTTCTTATACTTATATCTCCGAAATATGGTTTACATTAATTTATTTTCTGAATAATTATAGGATAGGGTTTATTAATGAAAATGAATATGATTTATACATGCAACAATACCAGTTTTAAAACTTACATGTATGCAAACAATATCACTTTATCTTCCCTTTCTCTCCTTTCATCTCCTTCCTGAGCTAGAGCATTCAAGACTTAATTTAACCACAAAATGTTAATAAAGTAGGGGCTGGGGATTTAGCTCAGCGGCAAAAAGCGCCTGCCTGGCAAGCGCAAGGTCTTGAGTTCGGTTCCCGGTACCGAAGAAAAACCAAAAAAAAAAAAAAAAAAATGTAAATAAAGTAGTATCTCACCTAGTTAAGAATATAGCTCAGCAGCACAGTGGCTGCCTGAGAAGCGTGAGGCCCTGAGTGTGATTCTCTGTACCCCCCCCCAAAAAAAGAATTCTCTCACCTCAAATGTATAAAATCTCTATGTCTTCCATGTATTGGGTACTATCAATAAATATTTTTGATGAAAAACCATATGAAGTATTTTATTCTTTTTTATTCTTAAATTTTCAGTGAACAACACGCTAGTACATACAGTA